TGTTGTGGAAGTTATGAGAGGAGGTGGGGGAAGGTGTGGTGGTGGGGGGGGGGGCTGTGGGGGGGGGGGGGGGGGGGTACTGCCATATATGGGATATATAGGTATGTGCCGCTTTGGAGGGTATGGTTTTCAAGCAGTTTACTCTAGGATAGGGTATATAAATCAGAGCGTTTGGGTCTAGAATAGGATATCATTTTTCAGGAAACTGATCGGTTGGTTAAAGATTTTATCCAGACTAGGGATTGTGGTATAAGGTTTTGTTTTAGCTAGACTGTGCTAGTGACCTCAGCAGCTTCTGGAAAACAGCTACTCTAGGATAGGGGGGATTTGGGGAGTTTACTCTACTATAGGGTAGCAAAATTCAGCTGAACTAGGTCTGATATAGGTTATAGGTTAAGGGTTCCAGGGTCCCGGCAGCACATCCCCACCCAGAAATTCCTAAAGTACGCCCCCCTTCCCCCGGGTAGCTCAGATAGGTGAGTGATTCTTCCACCGGTGACAAGTTTTCTCCACATAAACGAGGTCTGAGAACAAACCATTATCAGCCGAGATTTACCTCACGATAATTATTGCGGGTGACAAGAGCTGCAACTGGGATCGGAATTAGTCTTATTTAATTCTGGAATTCTAGACTTCTCCTATGTATTCTGTAGTTTCGCCAAATGGACAAATAACGGTGTAATGTATAGTCACTTCACAAGTTAAGATTCTTTACAGCTGAAATTAAAAAAGAGTGGGAAATGAAGGGAATAGTATACTAATAAGGCTGACAGTTCTTACGTACGAATTACGTTTCTCAGCCCTTGCTTATGGTATATCAGGTTTCAAGATACAGATATGTATTCTCAGAAATACGGTGACTTTTGAGTTACGCCGAGCAATGTAACTTTAAACGTCTACTCAGCTCTTTGAACTTCTCATTATAAGTCTATCTTACCTGAGGGTAAGCTTACTTCACAAACATCACAGAACACTTGCTTTGCAGCCGCCATGTTTGTACTTTTTAAAAAATACGCGGGCTCTGGGAACGAAAATTAAAATTCATGCCTAGTCTTCTCTCTTCTTCAGATGTAACGCCTGGCTATTTTGGGAAAGGCATCGAAAACGCAGCGTAGCTGTACAGCTGTTTGTACATGCTTCTTCTTTAAAGGATTTCCATAGAAAGAGTTATGTAGTAACATGAAGACAAAGCCTAGAAAATCCTCAGGGCAGCATATTCAAGGACGTCATGGTGTAAAAAGGGGCAGGAAATTGCAAGAGGTCCTCAAACAACGCCGTGAAAAGCAAAAGAAAATGAAAGATAAGCGAAGAAACAGCCAAAAACAACGAGAGAATCGGAGAAAATATCGTGCTGGGAACGAAAAGGATTTACCAACTTGTCAAGCATTAAATCGGTTTCAAAGACGATGCAAGTCAAAGATATTTGGCCAAAGTAGCTTCTGTAAAATTCACCAGTTCTATGACAGTGAGACTTCGGGTGTTGTTCAATGTCTTGGAAGAAACAAATTCTTAAAACGATGCATTAAGAGTGTTACACTTGATGAAAAATATTGTAATTATCACAGAATTGCAAACCAGAGTGAGAAATGACGGGTAGATAACTTAATACAATCTTGAAAACACTGACAACATTTTGTGTCACACTGATTACTGAAGTTTATATTATGCGGCAAAACTAATATAACAAACGAAAAATAAATTATTTCTTCCAAGGCATCTCATGAGGGAGCTTTAGCAAGGGCGATGGCGACGGCGACGGGGGCGAGAATGGTAAAAATGAAAACAATAGGTTTATCAAGCAAAACAACAACTCTTCACGTGCATCACACTTTTTAGTACACTTTCTTTCCTGACACTGAACGACTACGACGTGAAAATACCTAATTTCACGTTTATGGGGAACGTAGAAAACAAGCGGAGAAAAATTTTTCTTTCTCTTTCTAAACTTGAGTGCGATCCCCCAGAAATCAACTCCATTGAAATTTACCTACGTCCGACATTTTTAGCGAATTGGAATAAACGTGACAAAGTTTGAAGAAACTCAAATCCATTTTAAAAGTAACGTTTTTGCTGCTGTCGCAGTCGTCGATGCTAAAGCTCTTTATTGTGTCTAAGGCCCATTTCAAACGTCGTTCTACTGCCCCCGGGGGGTACTCGATATATCCCTGGGTGGGGAGGTGCGGCGCGGCCCCTCATACGCTGACCCTGTTTAAGACAAATATCGCTGATTTTCCTACCCTGTTTTAGACAGAATTCCGATTTATGATACCCTGTTTAAGACATTTATCCTGTTTAAGACAAAAATTGATAAATCGATACCCTGATTAAGAGAAAAAGTGATAAATTCGATACCCTGTTTAAGACAAAAATCCCGAAAAACATACCCTGGCTGGCCGCACGTCCCCATTAAGCCCTTATAAGGGAGTACCCCCCCCCCCCCCCCCCCCCCCCCCCCCCCCCCCCCCCCC